TAGGTGCATCTCACACCACACAGAAGAGGAGCAGGAAAACCTCTCTTTCAACCTTAAGCCTCATGGGTAGAGTACTCCTGGGGGCTAAGTCTACACTATTGCCTTTTTGCGGAAAAACATATGCAAATGAGGCTAAGCATGGAGTATTGCTGCACCTCATTTGCATAATTAATGAGCACCCATTTTTGCGCAAGCCATCTACAGTGCATCTCACACCACACAGAAGAGGAGCAGGAAAACCTCTCTTTCAACCTTAAGCCTCATGGGTAGAGTACTCCTGGGGGCTAAGTCTACACTATTGCCTTTTTGCGGAAAAACATATGCAAATGAGGCTAAGCATGGAGTATTGCTGCACCTCATTTGCATAATTAATGAGCACCCATTTTTGCGCAAGCCATCTACATAGCTCCTTTTTGCACAAAACCCCCCTCTTGCACAAGAGCCATTCTTCTGGAAAAAAATGTGGAAGAACTGCTCTTGTGCAAAAACTGGGTCTCAATTATGCAAATGAAGCACAGAGATATTCCATGGTTAGCCTCATTTGCATATGTTTTTCTGCAAAAAGGCTATAGTGTAGACATAGCCCTAGAGAGAGCGCACATCTCCTGCCAGCCTGGAGTCAAGTGCTGAACTCTTAAGACACACCCTTCTCCTCAACCTCTCCCATTGGCTAGCTTAGGTGGGACTCCACCTAGTCTGTTAACGCCTGTGAATCCTGACCTTGGATGCCAATCTCCCTCCATTCAATGTATAGGAAAGCTAAGCCCTAACGCAGGCTTTGTGAATCCAAGTGCTTTTCTAGGCACCTGTACATTGGGGATTGTGCTGGTGTATGTCTTAACACAGAGGTCCCCAACCTTTTTTATACCACAGACTGGCAAACCCATTCACAAACTTATGGCAGCCTGGTAACATTTCATTTGCATATCATTAAATATGCAACTAATGAATATGTACATGTGGAAATAAAATGTTACCTGTCTGCCTAGTCCCAACCCAGCCCCTTGCTCCCCAGTGCCTAACACCCTTTGACCCCAACTCTATGCCCCATGTCTTTTGACCCTTTAACCTCTGACCCCTACAGCCCATACCAACACCTCTTGCCCCATGACTTCAACATGCCTTCACCCCTTTGACCCTGCCCTATCCCTGCACTCCCGACAGCGAGGCTGCCCCCTTCTATTTCTGCATGGGCAGGGGGAGCAGCCATTGGCGGCATGCTTCCTCCCGCCCCAAATGCATTTCACACCCCCATGGGTAGAGGTGGGGGGCAGGGGAGCATGGAGCTGTACCACCATATTACCTGAATGGGAGAGGGAAAGGACAGAGGGAGGCACCTCCTCCTGTCACCGCCTCAGCCCCAGTGCTGCCACCTGGCAAAATTGACTGCCTGGGCAGGGAGAGCGGCTGTTGGCAGTGTGCACACTCCCTCCTCCTTCATGCCCCAGCCAGGCCACCCTCTTACCTGGATGGGAGGGGGAAGAGGAAGAGAGCCTCCTGCTCCGTCTCCTCCCACCACTGCCTCAGCCCCAGGCCACCAGCAGGCAAATATCAGCCACCACAGCTGCCGGGGACGAGCTGCCACAAACAGCTGGCTTCAGCTCTGGCAGCCAGCGGTCTGTAGACTTGGGAACTGCAGTCTTAACAGGCATGATGATACCAAACTGGGTGGGGTTGCGACTTCTTTGGAGGATAGGGACATAATTCAAAATGACCTTAGCAAGTTAGAGAAATGGTCAGAGGTAAACAAGATGAGGTTTAATAAAGAGAAATGCAAAGTGCTCCACTTAGGAAGGAACAATCAGTTCCATACATACAAGATGGGAAGCGACTGTCTAGGAAGGAGCATGGCAGAAAGGGATCTAGGGGTCATAGTGGACCACAAGTTGAATATGAGTCAACAGTGTGATGCTGTTGCAAAAAAAGCAAATATAATTCTAGGTTGTATCAACAGGTGTGTTGTAAGCAAAACTTGTGAAGTCATTCTGCCGCTCTACTCTGCACTAGTTAGGCCTCAGCTGGAGTACTGTGTCCAGTTCTGGGCGCCACATTTCAAGAAAGATGTGGAGAAATTGGAAAGGGTACAGAGAAGAGCGACAAGAATGATTAAAGGTCTAGAGAACATGACCTATGAAGCCAGGCTTCATGAACTGGGCTTGTTTAGTTTGGAAAAAAGAAGATTAAGGGGGGACATGATAGCGGTTTTCAAATATCTAAAAGGGTGTCACAAGGAGGAAGGAGAAAATTTGTTCCTCTTGGTTTCTGAGGACAGGACAAGGAGTAATGGGCTTAAAGTGCAGCAGGGGAGGTTTAGATTGGACATTAGGAAAAAATTCCTAACTGTCAGGGTGGTCAAATATTGGAATAAATTGCCAAGGGAGGTGATGGAATCTCCCTCTCTGGAGATATTTAAGAACAGGTTAGATAGACATCTGTCAGGGATGGTGTAGGTGGAGCTTGGTCCTGCCTTGAGGGCGGGGGGCTGGACTCGATGACCTCTTGAGGTCCCTTCCAGTCCTATTATTCTATGATTCTATGATTCTATGTCCTTTCAGGACTTAGCCCAGAGCATGAGAGCTGATAAGGCAACAGTGTTTGGGCTCACTTGGCGAGTGCTAGAGTGTTCTGCACACCACCACGCCATACCACAAAACAGGAATCTCATTCTCCCACACATGGGCCACCGGGCAGGGCGGGGGAGACGATTGTGTGTTACCAATCCGCAAGCTCCATTCTGTGTCTTTGGGGATCACCTGCCACTGGTAGGAATGGGGGGGGCACAATTGCTACCACTGCACCAGCGCCCCCGGTGATCTCTGAAGCCGTGTTCAGGGAAATGAGGTGTGATAGGGGAAGCGGGTGGGGTGATGGTCAGAAGGAGCAAGGCTGGGAGGCTGGTCACAGACAGGGCCCTCCATGGCCCACTGGGAGTCCCAAGGCAGGTTGTGCAATCACTCCATTTGGGGATAGCCTGTGGACTGGGAGTTTGAGACCCCTGTCATAAAACACTGTTGCTGTGCAAAATGAAAACATCTAGTGGTGAGAGCCTCACCCATGCTCTGGTTCTTTTATGGTAGGTAAATTATGGGGCAGCTTGTGGCAGCTGTCATACCTCATATTGTGAGTCTCTCCAGTCCCTAGCACAGTCTAGAATCAGGAGGGCACAAAACTGGCTTAAAGCCACCTTGCCAGCCTCCCACTGTCACTCTAAACTGTAAACTCTTGGAGGCACTGCATAAAATCTCACCCAGTTCTCAATTTACCAGCATATCAGAGAAAATGCAGGGCTGGATGTACTTTGAGATGTCAAGGCCCCTGTTCTGAGGCAGCGCCAGGTAAATCTAGGCCATCCCTGATAGATGTCTGTTCGTAAAAACCTCCTATGATCAAAGTCTCTGTGATATCAGTTAAACTATAAGTTAGCATATGCACTAATATTTCAGGTTCTCCCTGTTTATCCCCTGTACTCCGGGCATTTGTGTATAGACATCTAAGATATTGAGTAGATTACCCCACTTGTTGCTTCTTTGACCATATTGTAATTGGTAATCTCCCCCACAGCATCTAGCTCCCCCCTTTAATGCTTACCTGTGGACTTTTGTCACCTTTTATCCTTGAACCTTGTATAAAACCCTACTCAATAGGGTGTCGAGTTGGTGTCCAAAGAGGCTCTTCCCCATCTTAATCCAGTGGTTTTCATCGCTTATCAAGTGTTCATAGAAGAGCATCCTGTGGTCAAGGAAGCTGAAGCCTTCCTGTCAACATATCTGCAGGGCCATGCATTCATGTCCAGGCTGCATGTGTCCCCGCCTGGCCCCTGGCCCACAGCAGCGAGGGTAGATGAGAATACCACCTGTGCTCCCAGAGTGTTCACTATTGCACCTGGAGCCCTACAGAAACTTCAGCTCTCATCAATGTATATCAGTCATTATTGTAGCCATTCGGGTAGACCTTGCAGAAAACATGGTGTTTCAGGTGCATGTTGAGGACGACCATGTGGAGCAAGAGTTTTTGTTACAGCAAAATTGTTAAATAGATCCAATTACATCTTTAGGGGAGGATAAAAGAAAAGAACTACAATGAAATGCTAGCAAAATCCACAGTATTTCCCATGTTGGTGAAAGGTGTCGGGCAGAAGGGAAGTTCTGTGAACTAGAATATTTCAGTAATTTTTGAAGTTGAGAGCCAAACATTGCATTATTAAAAATTCTTGAATTATTTATAAAGTTCTCTTCTCAATCTTATTTTAGCCGTTAGGGAAATGAATAGTGAACTGTGTATTTAAACTGTTGTTTACCAGGATTGTGGGGTAAGTTCTTCTATCCTTCTTAAAGCTACATATTTACCCAAACACTGTAATTCAAAAATCGAGGTGTAAATAGGAAACCATTACATAAAATAAAATCCTGAAACAGACTAGTCCATTTCTGAGCTCTGAGCATATCAATGAAATCATCATTCTATTTTTCGTTCTGACAGTGCTCATTACTTTGGTATCTTTTCTTATACAATAAATACATTTGGGACATTTGTTTCTAAGCCGAAGAAGCTGAACCAATTTTGGATAATCATTATGGATCTGGATGAAATTTTAGATTCAGATAATCATTTGACATTTTTTTAAAACCCTGCTCCACTGGCTGTAAAGATGGCTAGTTCAGATAAATTCAAAATGTAGATATATCAGGAATCCAAGCAGGCAGAATTTTGATAAGAAAAACAAACACTGTAATTCACATACAGGAGAAATTACAGAGTTTTGTAAAATGCTGTCCATAAACTCCCTTACTTACTGGAAGTTAAATAAGAAAGGAAACCTGAAGGACACATTTAGGAGAAAACAAATTATGGATAAAAAATCTCTAATGCTCAGAAGAAACATATGTGAGACAATGAAAATATTTAATGGTGTTGCCCTGGCATACCTCTTCCCTGGCTTAGCAAAGAACTCTTTATAGTTCTCTATAACATGTCAGAGGACAATGGCTACTGTACTTCATACTTACCAACCTGAATCTGTGTAATTTGCAAGTGTTAAACCCCAACCGCATGTTTTGTATGCAAAAGATGGTTCGAATTCCAGCAACTGGAGAGAATGATTACAACAAGCCCATCCCATCACAAGTGGGAATATAATACGGTAGGTTTGATTTTGTTGGATGATGTTTTTTTTTTCTATTTCCTGAACAGGGAACAATGTAGAGTTCATTGAAGTTAATGGAAACTTCTATTTTAATTAGAATGTCTAAGGTACTCATGATAAAAGGAAAGTTTTCATTTCTGATTTGCAATCTGCTTGTTCCTTTATCTGTTTTTAATGTGAATGTAACTATCTGATTACCATTTATGTAACAATTTTGTACTATTGCGGTGGTTACCACAGAGTAGCTAGTCTTGTACACAAGCTAGTGCAGCTCAGTGGGGTCTCCTCCTTTATAAATATTTCAAATGATCTGGGTTCTCTGGGTTTGTCTAGGAAAGGTACATACTAATTTGGCTTCTGCCAGCCACTTCTGGAGCATGTTCTAATCAGTATTTCAATTTTGCAGAATTTCCATTTGTATTAATAACTGATCACTAAGTTTGCTCTCTAAGGCCTGAGGTTTCATCTATAGAGACCAATTAACAGCAAGATTGTTTTCTTCAAGTAGCCAATTATTTTAATTACTGGTAAAAACTGTTTGCTTTGCACAGATTTGATCAGTTGGACTTGTCTAATACATTACATTTCAAACAATTAAAGCTTTGTTTTCAGTGACTTTTAAAATTACTTTCTTGATACTAGCAAATATCCCCAAATGACACACAGGGACAAACGGACCAGAGTTCCACATATAGTACTACAGATCAGATAGCAGTAGTAACATAGGGCTATTAAAACAAAATCCATTTTCTTTGAGGAGTCCTTTTTTTCTTTTTCTAATCCAGATTTATTTCCAGATTTGATATGGCACCACTATATTAATGGAGGATATACAAGCATCTGCTGTAAGTCAGGGGAACACACAATTCTGTCATGATATCTGTGTGAAAACTTTCACATCTATGGGAAACCTATAGGATGCAAGAACAAAATTTTCAGATAGGACTGTGGGTTCATTCACCACAGTATCTTGCCTATTGTGCTGGCCAATGCCATTATTTGACACCTTAAAGAAATGTGATATCTCTGTATTTACTCTCCATTTTCAACATTAGCCCACCTCCATAATACTCCTAGCCAGTTTTATAACCAAGTTTCCCTAAGAAAATCAACATCTTTCTCCTTTTGCTTCTGGAAAAAGGCATTTCCTCCCATCCCTGGAAGAACATTTTCCTTTCCATTTCAAGGGTGTTTTTTTAAAACTTTCGCTTTTTGAATAAAATGGACATACATTTCAAAATTAAATGTCATTTTGAACTGAACATTCAAAACACTTAGGGCACATCTACACAGCAGGGCAAAAGTCAAATTAAGCTACACAACTTCAGCTAAGTCAATTGCGTAGCTGAAGTCGAAATAGCTTAATTCTTCTTTTGGCGCTGTCTAGACAGCAGAAAGTCGAAGGAAGAGCTCTCTTCTTTCAACTTCCCTTACTCCGACTCCTGTAGCCCTTATTTCGTGAGGAGTAAGAAGTCCTCCAACTCAACATTATTCCGATATAATGGCTTGCTGTGTAGATACACAGTTTGTTATTTCAAAATAATGTCAATTATTCTGAAATAATACTGCTGTGTAGACATACCCTTTATTTTTAAATATGGCAAAACAACATGTTTTAGCTTTTGGATCATCTTCTCCTTGAAACAATTTAGTGAGTTTGACACACATTTTTGGCAAGCTTTTTGCCGAGCTCTATCTCCGCACTATATATGCTTGAAGGATTATCTGGAAATGGTCAGTGCATACACAGCCATTATTCCACCTCTGCTGTAGTCCTACAAAAGGTAGGAGAGACCATGTACAGGTGTTATCATCATGTTGTCTAGATCTGCTCCAAGTAGAGAGCTGCATGGGCTTTGTAGCAGTGGAGAGAGAATCTCTAGAAAGGGTCAGTATAGACAAGGCCTATGAGCAGCACAAAGGCAATCAAGTACTAATTTCACAGTTTTTTGCTGGGATCACTGACTGTCTTTTGAGCAATAGACAAGACTGACTCTATGCTCTTTTTATTAGTTTTTATCAGTGGTTTTATGTAGCATTGACCATATGAGGACCTTGGTTCACTAGTAGGAGCTACCGGAGATGGCTGTGGGCAGGTCCTCATTGAGGGTCAGTCCTTTCTTTTGTGGATAGTTTAAAGCAGGGCTACTCAACTTTGGAAGCCCCGGGGACCACAGTGATACTCACAGCATATGCCAAGGACCGCAACTCAAGTGTGGCTGCACATACATGCAAATATCTTCTCTCACACTGATGGGCATGAATACAATGATTAAGGCAAGATTACACAACACGCAAGCCCCATTTAAGTCAGTGCTCCTGATATTAATAAAATGCAATATTTACCTGACTTCCAAGCACTTTTAATGAGCAATGAAAGTCCACAGAAGACCATTATATTGACTCACTATTGTGAAGCATGTTCCTAGTGCAGTCCATGTTCAAAGGATCCCACCAATCAGCTGCGTGTTGAGCCCCGCATAAACCCAAACTGCGGGCCACAAACAAACAGGCCATGGGCTGCGTGTTGAGTAGCCCTGGTCTAGCGGTTTATCTTCTGTGGGGTCACACACATCATTGTTTCTGTTTTGCAGTTAGCACTGTTCAGGGCTGCAGTTCGCTGGAGCTGAGGATGCTCAAGTTTGCGTTTCATTGGATCCAGAATCCACCATTTCATGGCTTTCCCAGTGTCAGACTGGAACAATGACCTGGGTGGAAAGGAACCAGCTCTAACTCAGCTAAGATATGACTGATGCAATGCAGGTTGGCAGGCAGGAGGATTCAGAAGATACCTGCTTAATGAGTAAGAGACGTGAATTTTGATTTTGGGCTTAGAAAAATGTCTCAAAGAATGGTTAAAAAGATGACCAACACTTTGTGGGACTGCTCCCACGGAAATCAATGTAAGATCAGCCAATAGCAGCAGGAGGACACCACTTCTTATGAACACAAGCTGCACTGAAGTCTAGTTATGAACCTTTGTGAGATGAAGGGAATTATGGTGCTGAACGATGCCATTCCACCTCTTTCCTTGTGATAGGAGGTCCTAGGCAGAGAAGCTGCTGTCTTGATAAAAATGTCTGGGAATAGGTGTGGCCAGGTTTGGAATCCTGGAGCAGGCTAATCAGCTACAGGGCAGGTGTTCCTGGCAGAGAAGAACTTTCAAGTTCTATGAAGGGAAATGCTATTCAGATGATTAATCCTCTTGGTGAGGAGCTGGATTCTCGACAATTCACTGTCTGACTATTCAGATCATTTACTTTTCCTAAGTGCTTTGTTTCTGAAAATGAAACCGTAGCCATTCCCAAGCCAAAGGAGTTGCCCAAGGGATGCCTTGGGGCTGACAGTGAGGGAGAGAAGCTGCATCCTGTCAATGTTAATATTTCAGTTTTGTTTTTCCCTAGAATGCTTCAGATGACTCTGAAGTAAAACAAATAATAAAACACTGCACCACCTACAAAGCTCTCCAAGCGAAACCTTCCTCATTTTTATTGCTACAAGATTCTGAAACCAACAACATGCAGAAAAGACTTGAGTCAATAAAATATATTACACATTTATAGACCAAATGCTATACCAGCACTTGCACTACCTAATCACAGAGTTAATCAGAAACACCAGTCATGTGAAACCAACGTACATAATATTCTCAGAAAAGCACAAATCTTGAACATGAGTTTCTACTCAGCCTGACAGTTATATACTCTCATGCAGCTTAAAAAAACCCAAACTATTATAGCAATAGAATCTCTCTGCCAAAATTTATTTGCCAAACAATACAAAATAATTATTGAAGGATTTAACTTTGCTTTGGAATAGTTCAAGGTCCTTTTCTTTCTTATTTTTCTGGGAGGGATAGGGGGAATAAAAGGGGGTTCTCAGTAATTAAAATTCTGTCGTAGAACCAAATGAATGAAACATGAAATGAAAATGCTGGATGCTCAATACCCACGTTTGCATCCTAGAATCACTAGATGGCACTGCAGAGTAGATATGCTCTGGGTGAGTGAAAATGTAACCTTTTGTCTTGCTACAAGGTTATTACATTTGTGACACAAAAATTTTATATGGCTCCATTAAACTTATATGGGTTGTGGTTTAGTTTCTTATCTCTCTCTAGCTGGTTAAAGTTTTTTTAAAAATATAAGCATAAGAGAACTACAGATCATTTTCTATGTACTTCGAGGATGTAAGGCACAAAACCCGAAGTAGAAAGCAGATTTTATATATGTATATATATATATATATATATATATATAAATCAGCTCAGATGCCAATTAGGATAGCCAGCTAAGGATTTCTTTAGTCACATACAGAGGATTTAGAGTATCCAGGGCCTGGGACTGAGATGGATTACAAGATTGAGGGCCTGGAGAACTACAGCTGTACAACCTTCAGGGACATAAGAAATTAGAGAACTGAAGGTTTCCAAACTCAGACAAACCCACAAACCCATAAAGAAAATGAGGAAAAATGTTATGAAAGTGGAACGACATTGGCTGTGGTGTGTCCTGCTGCGTTCCTGCAGGGATGATATGAATGATTCTTTCCCGTGATGCAGACTGGGTTTGTTATTACTTTGTTTGTATCAGTTGGGAAGTTTACGATATCTGCACATGCCCTACTGCAGTCCAAGGTAAAACAACTTGCCCTAGAATTGTGTCACTTTAACAGATTTATTTTTGCTTTTATCTCTTTTCAAATTATTAATGTTCAAATTTAAGGTGCAGTATTCCTTGTGGACGTTTGCTTTTCTTACGGGGAGATAGATGTGCCCCACCAGAAAATCCTAAGCATGCTGGCAGGAAAAATAGGTTACAGCATAATTTATGATAGAAATGTTCACCATCAGTAAATAAACAGGCCAATTTAGGCATCTTTGGTGTAATGTATGATGACTGGGAGCTACGCTGACACAGTAAGAATTGCTGCTGTCAGTTTATAGGGAATCTCTCTCCAGGTAGATGGTTCATGCTGTCAGCTGCTGTCTTCAAAGCTGCCACTATTACTGCAGGAATGAAATCGCATAGAACTCATGGGATCAGACACGTATCCTGCATAAAGCAGAGAAAAGTTCACGTGTTATTCACAATCACCTCACAACATAGCAACACTTTTCTCCTTTCCAGCCAGTGACCATGTCATAAAGATAATGCAAACGTCTTTTCGAGATAAATAAGCAAGGCACATGCTGACGTCTTTTTGCAGCATATGAAACCCAAGGCGATATAACCTTCTGAGTAAAATTTAAAAAATAAAACACAAAGCCTATCATTCATGCAAAGGAATTTAACAGAAATCAGGGTCCGTAAAACATCAATGACTGAAAAACAGACAGACCCTTGACTCCAAATATTTTAATTATACAGCATATGTTTTATATTAAAATATCTTTTGTTGACCTTTCAAATTGGGGTCCAATAGGGCCAAGGTATGCATTCTGTTATGAATAATTATTTATGCTTTAATTCTTGGAGGTTATCAGAAGGTGATCAACTGCCATTGCCAGTGTCATACTTCCAATTAAAAGTGCACTGGTTCACTGGTCAGTAGTCATTGCTGTTCTTTTGATGCTGCTGTAAGTTGTCTACATTTGACCCAATCAGCTCAAATTTTTGGGTCTTGAGTCACTCTACAGTTCTAGTAAGATGTCAAATAATAGAAAAAAGGTAACAGCTCAAATAATTTGGCAAAACATAAAACATGTAGAAAAGGAGGAGAAAAAATAATCAATAACCTCAACTTTGTTAAGCTCAGCACCCCTGCACATTAGCAGCCTAAAAGTGTACAGGCCTACAGCCTAAGTGAGCTACAGTTTTAAATTGAATTTGAGAATTTGAATGTCATAAGACTCAAAGCAAGTGACCCGAAGAGTAAGATTGCAAGAAAGAAAAGTTGTTTTAGTTAAATATGTACCTGCCTTGGAAACACAGGTGTTATCTTATGAAAGCTCTGTGCTGAAGTGATAGAAATACAGGAAACCAGTTAACTGGGCAGCAGGCATAAGGTTTAGCCTTAAAATACCTTGTTGTCTCTTTGGCTAAAGTCCAATGCCCAGCGATAGCATTATTTCTTTATTTAGTATATAAAAATCAAGAATCAGAGAAGTTTTATGGTCAGATTTTTTTTCTTCACCCTTTGAGTCACACCATAATGGGAAGGAATCTCCCAAGCCTGATTTTGTTATGAGTATTTTGGCCAAAGCTTACAACTATGTTGCTGCTAGGGTATAAAACATAAGTATGTACGTGTTTGTATTGGCATTTTGGATGGAATGAGCACCGCGTGGCCTTTGGACTAATAAAGGAATACGTGTGTGAAAGCGGAGTCATGGTCCACCTTCATATATTTACAAGGGAAATGATTTCTAATCTAGTTCTACCTATGGGGTGGTGGGATTGGAATCAGATTTTGTAGTCATAGAACAGCTAGCTTTTATCTGCTCTGATACCTGAGCTGAGGAGCCACGGCAGCATAGGCAACAGTGTGTGCCAGCTACCCAAGTCCTTACCCAGGGTTCTGAGTGGACTTGTACCTCAGCCCCATGCTGCTGAGGCTTCACTCCTCCAAGACCCATGCTAGCTAAATTAAAGCTCGAGAGCATGTCTACATGTGCTGTGGTCACAACTTTATAGACTAGGGGCCCCAAATTTTTCACAGTTAGAACCTACTTGAAGCTTGAAGTGGGGCTATAGCTCATGTGTGGGAAGTGTGGATAGAAGGAAGCAGGCTGAGACTGGAGCTGCAGCTGGGGGCAGCGATAGAGCTGGGATCAGTGCCATGGCCAGGGCTGCAGGGCGGGAAAGGAGAGCGGGAGCCAGGAACCGAGCTGTAATTGGGCCAAGGGTGAGGGTGGGGCTGGGACTGAAGCTTAAGCAGAGCCAGCGGGTGGAGCGGGGTCAGTGGCATTCCCACCCCAGCACCCATAAGCCCCACTGCCCTCCCAAATGTTCCTTTGCAACCCCTTGCTGGGAATGCCCTACAGTTTGGTGATCACTGATAAATTCTGCACACCACTGGGCTATCTAGCCACATACAAAGAGAAACATGGATGGGTGAGAGCATTTCTAAGGCTCTTGACTGCCGAGATCCTATTAACAAGAGGAAAGGTATCCTCAGAGGCAGATACACAAGCTAAACTCCTGGAGTGAGAACAACACCTTAATGGTGCTCCACACTATCCACACTTCACTCCCAGGAAGAAAAGGCATCATCAAACCTTAGTGCCTATCATTTAGCGCCATGAGCATGACACATTATATGCAGTTAGGGTAACAGAGAACTATCAAACGTCTTTGGGATCCACAATTCCTGTCTATTCTGGACTTATGTCTGGACTTATCTACACTGGGCCAAATTTCGGAAAAGCCTCCTCTTTTGGAAGAGCCCTTCTTCCTCACGGGAGAAGGAAGACAGGGCTTCTGAAAGAGCGTGTCTGCTCTTCTGCAAAAAAAAGTGGAAGAGTAGATGCGTTCCCTAGACACGGTGGAGTTTTTCCAGGATATTTCCTGGAAAAACCCTGTAGTGTAGACATAGCCCCAATTGGAAATGTATGGTCTAGGGGGACTGATTGGCAAAATGTGTGTGGATGGATAGGCAGGAAGCCAAGAAAGCAAGCAGGCAGCGAGAGAAGCAGTCGTCAGTGTGGCCCTGAGATGGAGTAGAGAGACAATCCTCCCTGGGCACAGAACTAGCCAGGCAAGCAGTTTGTAAATTGCGAGCAAGGACACTGCCTGCTATTGTTTGTTTCTACTGTGTTCAGGGAAACAGGGTCATTATAGATTCTCTGCAAAAAACCTTCATTGCACCCACAAATATAACAAGAGTCTTATAATTGATTTCGATAGCTAATGAAAACACACATGCAAGCCCCCAGTGATTGGCCATGTGCTCAGGCCAGAAGGGCAACAATACTATGAACCTTCTGCTTACATTACACCTAGATTTAAAAAAAGGAGCATAAAACCAGGCTTCGAGCTCCATATTTCAGCTCTTAAATAAGAGTGCACATCCTCTAATACGCTGAGCATCCAGCCACTGTCACTGGGGTACCTCAGTGGGAGCTGCTGGTTGCTCAGCATGTTGGAAAATCTGGCCACTTATTTACATCATAATTTAGATTCAAGGACATCCCTTCAAGCACCTGCTTTTGAGAGTCTTGTCTTCAGTAGCAATTTAACTGCAACCTGCTGCCTGCAATTGCTGTTGAGGTCCGGGGGAGAAAGCACGGGAGATCTGGATTTGCAACTTTCTGAGTTTTGGTTCCCCTATGTACAGGGAAAATCCCATTTGCTATGGAAGAAGCATGGTGCATGGTATTTACTATTAGCTCCATTTCTGGTGGAATCTCTCAATGCTATTGCCATTGATACTTAGTGCTGGTTCTTGATAACACTTGTGTATTATCGACACAACCATCCTCTGCTACAATTGGGCTAAGGCTATTTGTGGCCCACACACTTGATTGTGACAGCGTTCCAGGTTTTACAGCTGTCCTGAGAGCCCCCTCGCCCCACAATGAGTAAATGTCCCATTTAAAGCAAACAGTGAGACTGTCACACATGGAGCCCTAATTTCTTTTCAGAAGACTGTTCTCAAGCCAGCCTGGGCTGTGCTTCTGACACACTGCACTGTGCCACAAGAAGCGGCTACAAGTCTGTGGGGCATAAGCTTCTTTTCCTTAAATGTTTCCATGTACTCTAAGCACCATACATCTGTTTTTATAACTATTGTTATTTTTTATTTGCACTACAGTCGTGCCCAGAGGCTCCCTTCAGAGCTCAGGGCTACACACTTGTAATGAACAGATGGACCCTGCCCCAGAGTGCTCAGGGCTAGATTTGTCATGGCCTTTCAGTGCCTAATTGCCACTGATTTCAGTTAATACCTTTAATACCATGCCTTTCAAAATCTGGCCCTGATGGACTCAGTTAAAGACAGGCAAAAAAACAGGTAGCGACGACAAACAGCTACAAGTTGTCAGTGTAACTGTGGTGTTTAGTGGTAATAAGCAGCTGTCACAGCAAATGGCTTTTTCCAGGAATTTGCCGTTGCCTTAGATGACTATAGCCCTGTGTGCTTAAATGCATCCAGGAAGTCATCCAGGAGTCCTCCTGCCTGCACCGGATTCTAACCCCCCAGTGACTATCTGCCAGGGACTCTCCCTGTGGAAGGCAGTGACAATGCTGCACTCCCCTCCACTAAGAGCCACCCCCGACAGCCACTGGAGCTTTGGTCTCCTCTGTCAACATGGTGCAGCCCCGCAAGGATGGATCATTTTCAGCTTGGGGTGACAAATGCCTCTCATCACTCATGCCACTTAAATTCCAAGGCAAGTACCTCATCCCCAAGTACAAGTACAATTAAGCTCAGCTTTTGCTGAAGATAAGAATTCTGCGTAGACTCACCATTTCTATCAATAGGTGGGTACTGGAAATTCCTCCTCATGTCGTCCAAGGACAGGCCTTGAGAGGGGTGGTGACCAGTGCTGTAAAATTGACATGACACCTTGATTACAATGATCAGAATGAGTTGCATTGGCTTTTCCAGAAATATACTTTGAGGCAAAACTTAAACAACAACAAATAGTCTGGCAGCACCTTAAAGACTAACAAAACATGTAGGGGTATCACCAGCTTTCATGGGCACAGCCCACTTCTTCAGATGAATGTAGTTATTAAAGGTCCAGTTTCTAAATAAATAGGGGAGGGTGGGAGAGAAAGAAAAAGAAGGTAAAAAAAGAAAAAAAGGGGAAAGGAATTGTCAATTAGAGTGTCCATTAATTAATTATTTATAATTAATTAATAATAATTGACTATTTCTTTCTCCTTTTTTTCCCCTTCTTTTTCCTTTTCTCCCCATCCCCTATTTATTTAGAAACTGGACCTTTAATAATTCCATTCATCTGAAGAAGTGGGTTGTGCCCTTGCAAGCTTATGATACCAACTACATGTTTTGTTAGTCTATAAGGTGCTGCAAGACTATTTGTTGTTTTTAAATTTTTCCAGTTAAACTAACTCGGCTACCCCTCTGAAGCTTTTGAGGCAAAAGACAGTAACATAAAATATGCCTGCTATCAGCATTCACAGTAAAGCCTTTGGAATGACGGGCTCTTATTCAGGATTGTAAATCCAACACACATGCACACACAACACACATTTCCAAAGTAACTTTAGTCAAATATCTTACTTTGGTGTCACAATTGCTTGTACATTGCTATTTTAGTAGCAATTCTAAGTATCAATATTTTATACATCACTGCTATCAGGTTTCTGCAAATTAGTTTCTCTGACAAAGACCATCCCTAAGCTGTTTTTCAGTGGTACTGACCACCAGTACCACAATGCCTGTGGGTTTATTATCCTAGATCATCAAGAGCTATCAAGTAAAGACTGCCCTTTACCGGTTCTTCTCAGATAACAGGCAAACTGAAATTGAGCATACCCAGGGAAAAGAAAACAAGAAGCCCCAAGAGAACTGTATTTCCAGGGAGACATAAACGAATAATATATAGTGAGTCACTGTGGTTACAGTGACATAGCATCTTCAGGCACACTGGTGGGAGACATTGCTGGAAAGGACATTTGAAATTATTTGCAACAATGCAGTTTCCCTGGTGATTTCAATGAAGCAAGCTGCTAACTAATGGCAGGTAAGGTTGTCACAACCTGGCTGATTTTACTCCTGACAAAATTAGGTGGCTTTCGAGAATGGTTACGCATGGATAATATTTTATCCTTTAGTCTCCATTGTACCAAACCTGACTTTAAATCAGAACTTTCTCATTTAAAAAAATCTCTCTGTTTTTTTGTTAAATGACATTTCTCTTTCTAAAGGACACTGAGTAATAAAAACATAAATGGTGTTCCTTTCCTGACAGACAGATCTACTTATTTTTTGTATATATAATGATACTTGACATTTTTGTTCTGCATCAGATCAGCTTTTACAGAGTAGGGAAGGAGATAGAAGTTGGGTTTGGGAACAGCTCATCTATTTGTTTCTTTGGAGAAAAAGCTTTGCTGGGAAATACTTTTGCAGGGCATGAGGGATTTGAAATAATAGTGTAAGCGTTATCTTGAAAAACTTTATTAATTTTTTACCTTTCTGTAGCCACTTCAATCCATAATGCCTCGCAAATACTGATCACCCCACTGTGACGACTATGAGTTACATTTTACGGATGGGCAAACTGCAGTACAGAAAAGTTCAGTGGCTTGCTCAAGGCCACGTAACACATAAGCAGCAGAATTAAGAACAAAAGCCAGGACACATGACTCCTAGCACCCATACTGAACACTAGACCAGGAGTGGGCAATAAGCGGCCTGCAGGCCAGATGTGCTGTGCCCAGGGTTAGTGGGCCACCAGATGCTTTATTTACCTGTGCCTCTGCAGGTACAATGGCTCACTGCTCCCACTGGCCATGGTTCACCCTTCCTGGCCAATGGGAGCTATGGGAAGCAATGTCCAAGTATGCTGCTATTTCCTGAACCTCTTATTGGTTGGGAATGGCAAGCCTCAGCCAGCAAGAGCTGTGAGTGGCTGTACCTGTGGAGATGTGGGTAAATAAAACATCCGGCAGCCCACCAGGAGCTTAACCTCAGCAAACCACATTCAGCTCAGGGGCCGCTTATTGCTCACTCCTGCACTAGACCATACTCTGTTTTTTAGAACTCTGGACACAAATAGAGGTTTATATTTAGGTTTATATTTATTTATATAACATCCTAGTAAATATTCTGCAGCTGATCAGTGGAATCGCTACATAGCCTACTAGGTTATATTCAACTGGCTTTTAACATTGTGCCTTACACCAACCTGTGTGCTTTCATTAGAGAGGGGCCTGGCCCATACCAAACAATAGCAGGGAAGGCACATTTGTGCAATTCACCAGATATAATGTGTGTTTGGGACCCAACATCTGGCATAGCTTATTTCAGCCTTGGTGCTATCTATACAGCAGGAAGTTTGAGTTAGAGCACTCTTCCTTTGACTTCCCTTACCCCTCATAAAATGAGGGTTACAGGAGTTGCAATAAGAAGTCCTCCAGCTTGCCATTATTCTAACATTATATCAAAATAACTGCTTGCTGTGTAGACGTGCACTGTTAATTTGAAATAACATCAGTTATTCTGAAATAACACTGCTGTGTAGACATAGCCTCTGTGAGTCATGCTGGTTTGAACTTTCTGTACAGAATGCTGTTTCTTCTTCTTCTGAGTTAAGAGAAATCAAAGGTCACCTTAATTACCTCAGGGTACATCTACACTGCATCCCTAGTTCGAACTAGGGATGCAGTGTAGACGTACCCTCAATGTCCTGTACTTGCAGGACTGAGAATTCTTCAGGCCAATGGCAGAAACAATATCACACAATTTAGGAGTTCCATCACACAGAATAAATATCTTATTATGACTTGCCATTATGAATAGCCATTGTCTGAAGCAACTGAGCCCTGATCTGAAGCCCCTTAAAATAAAGCCCTTCAATCAACTTCAAGAGACTTTGGATTAGGGTTTATTTGAAATGAACCATTTCTGAGCCATTCACAGAATTAAAAAGATTCACATAAGCCATTTGTTAAATAATTTTGGCCCACTAGCAAATCTGTATAGTCTATGCCTGTTCGTGGATAATACAAAATAGAAAAAGTAGCTACATTAATCAAGCTTATTGCAAATAGCTGTCCTGGCTCTAGTCTCATTGCATCTACCATGTCACAACATAGCTAACTAATACTAATAATATAGTATAATAATAACACTACAATTACTATTCCATTTTAAATCCAAATAAAAATTGGTTTGGTACTAACAAACAAAATTTTTCTTCCAAGAAGATTATACTATACAAGCAATATCTTGACTAAACTAGTTTACCTTGAATACACAAATCCAGAGCAAAATATACACCTGTGATACTATCTCAGAGGTAACATAAGCACATGGTTCAGACTGCAGCTAGTTATTCCACTGTGCACTCTTTGATAATACAGCCATTCTGTAGAAACTCTTCAGCTCCTTAGATATAGGATACTAGAAGATTTACCAGGCATTACTCAGCTTCTTGACTTGATTAATTTTTGTTTTGGGGAAAATAAAATAAAAAATGCTATGTACATGCTTCATTTAAATCGTTGCTCTGCTGTGGGGCTGGGGACGAAGGGTTCAGTATGTAGCCTGCCCCAGTGAGAGAGGACAATTAAAGCCCTCTCTTGCCACAGCAGCTTGGGGCCAGGTGAGAAGCACCTTTCCATGGCTGCTGCAGCTCCAGTAGGCACAGCCAAGGGAAGGGTGCATGTCCCCTGGTGGGGCAAGTCCAAATTCATCTCTTTCCTGTGCTTCCCACCCAGAGTGAGGAATGCAGCAAACTATGCACTTTCCTCTCACTCCCTGAAGAAGGGAAATAGCCAGTAATGTCCACATATGAATTGGAGGGCAGTGGGGTGGGGAGCGTCAGCCCCCAGGTACCATCTCTAAAGGGTGCCTTGGTGGTGGGAGGCTTGGAGGTGGCATAGTCCTGGATGTGTGCCTGGTGATTCTGTTCTTTTTCTGTATGGTTTTATGAGAAGCAATCCCACATTCCAGGCACATCCCATTTTCCTAGCACAACCAAACCCTGACCTTGCTTAAAGTTATGATACGAGGAAGCTACATACCAAATGTGGTGGTCCTAGCTCTTACTGTTTAGGAGTTCTTGAACAAACAGACAGACAGACAGACAAAGTCTCTCAAATATATAATAGATTGCTGGGGTAGCACCCTTCTTAACCCTGATTATAAGCCTTTCACAGAGAGAGCTACTAGGAAAAGGAAAACTTTCCCGAACATGAAGAATTAAAAAAAAACCCCAACCTCCTTAGAATACTGGACTGATTTTTTACTTCCTTAAAAAGTAGTAAAATATTGTATTGCTATTATAGTAGCACCCAGAAGTGCTAAACAGGATTTGGACTCCATTGTGCTAGTATTTGTTCAAACACATAGTAAGAATGAGTCCTTGCCACAAAGAACTGCTAGGTATATGCAGTAGTAAAGTTTGACTTTAATCTTTTTAATGGTGTGCAAAATAAGGAGTAGATGGATCCCCATAATAATTTTCTGGTGCTTTCTGCACACTGAAATATTAGAGGATAAAAATAAAACTGAAAGTCCTTCAATTACAGTTGCAAAATTCTACTCACCTACTCATTTATTATAAAATAATATTTATTGCTGGATTGGTACATCATTCATTTTTCCTTTTTCATCATGATCTAATGTGGGTGTGCCTGTGTCTGGATTAATATTTACTCCATGAAATTTTTGCAAATTTATTTTAAACAATTTGGTTTGCAAGAAGAAAGGACAATCAGCCTATTGTTCAGGATTTAAGGTCACTATAAAAATGGATAGTTCATGGGGTAAACATTAACTATGTGTTTTAGTGAGCTAAAAAGCATAATTCCACATGCACAGCGCTGAAAATGTATCCTCAAGTCTACGATT